AGCAAGTAATGATGGTCAACAACTACTCTATTCTTTTGTGTTTTTGGCTGATTGGCAAAAGCCGTAAAAAGCCCTCAGAGAAGAGGAGTCTTCCCTTTTGTAATAGTGAAAATAGGTTTGAAAATCTTACGTTTTTTGCTATAGAGGAAAACTACAGGTCAATATGCTTTGATACACATTGTAAATGCATTGATAGACAATGTAGATGCTTTGTCACATAGATGGGCTCTATTTTATTGCTTAGTGCTCCTTTCCTACATAGCTTTCCTAAATTGGCACCCTATGGTAAACTTTCTGCATGCATATTATAAAAAAAAAAAGAAAAAAGAAAGAAATCTCTCTATTCCGAACCTAAAACGCGGAGTAGAAAATATTATTATGTCGACAGAACTTGCTCAGCTCTATACATGAGATTAACAAGGTTCTAGAAGGATGAGATTTTCGACCAAAAAAACAAAGAAGGATGAGATTATATAAACCGTATAAGCTCCCTTCAGACCATCTATGAAATTACAAAACACAACCTGCCAGAATTTTTTCTTCACGTCCCTATACTTGCAACTGACAAGCTTTCCTCCACGCCGATAAGTAAATGCAATAACAATCTGCCAACAAGATTCAAACACAATCATGAGGAGAGAAGAAGGAAAGAAAAGAATGACCATTGTCCATTATCAAAACTCAAAGCAAAGCAAAACTGTAAACAGAGTTGTTGGTCATATCATTCACTGGATGTCATCAGTAAAAGCTTCATGCTGACTCCTCTCCTTGTCTAGATAGTGAAGAATCATTTCATAACAAATCTACACTTTTTATTTCAGCCTTCTGAAAATTAGTGTAAATGTCAAATACAGGATCATTACTAGTAGAGTCATGCATTACAAGAACCTGAATTTCAGAGACCAGAACCCCGAGCAGTAATAATTCAAGTAATCATCATACTAGAAGCCTTAAAATTTTACATTTTCCAAAAAAGGAAAAAACCTGATTCTCGCACTTTTTCTGCATGACCGCATTTCTCCTCAATGTCTCAGCAGAGATTAGACGTTCCGCAAAGTAGGCGACTAACTGCGAAAGGTAGCATAGATCGAATCAATCGTGCGGGATAAGGCAACTAAGAAGCAATATTCCACAATGTAATCCAAAATGAGAGTGGATATTAGAAGGACAGTTTTGACTTAAAAAAGTGTAGTAACTCTTTAAATTGGAAACTGTCTAATAGCACCAATCAGAAGTGAAAAGCATCCAGCATCAAGGTCACGAGAAACATAAGACCCTAAAAATGAAAATCCTTCTTTGAAATGAAACATCATAGTGACGATTATGCTTGCAAGAGACCATCGGGACAAGTGTGATGCTAAATAAGAAATACCCACATTGTTTTCATACTTTCTGGTGAGACAAGTATTCCCACACACAGCAACATTATGGTATTAATTTCCTCTCCAAAAAGCAACTAGTGCCAAGAAATACCTCTAAGCGTCAGCCATTGCAATAGCCGATAAGTCGTATAGGAAGAGCATAAGGAGCAAAAGTTCTCCATGGATTATCCTCAACCAACAAAATTACAAAACTCAAGTGCAAAGAAAATCAAAGAAATTAGTCAAATTGGAAGGAAAAAAAAAAGGATATAGAGAAAATGGCAATTTACCTCGCTTTCACCTTATACAAGCAAAAAAAGAATCCTAGATACAGCAATTTACTACTCTATACTATCAGAATTTTGTGGCGGGATATTCTATTGGCATAGACCTCCATAAGTTAAACGGCAGAAAGCAACAGTTTTGGGGTCCAAATTGCAATAACATGAATGGGGAGGGAATTAAAACCATTTTCTGTTAGATCTAAAAGAAAACCTGCCACGATTCTCAGTCCTAAGACTTTGGAAGTTTAGACTGCAGAATAAAGAAAGAAATTTTCCCTTACACCGCATTGACATTTATGCACAGAATCAGTCAGCACAAAAGGCTAATAAGGGAAGACCAAGTGGACTTGAAATTGCAACTACAGAGATAGGGGACTTCGAGAACATAACAACCTCATTGCAGAGTGGCTCCAACTCCAAACTCTCCTCCGTGATTTCCCTGATGCTCTTGACTTTGCTTGTTTGGTTAGAGGTTGCGTATGAAGACCTAGGTTTCGCAGCAGCCTACAACCAAAGGGTGCAGTAGGCTAAGAGCTCTGGGTAGACACAACTTGGAACAACCCATAAAACAAGCACGTATCTTACTCGTGTACTGCCTTTCCATCCACATGTTCCCCTGAAACATGTCCACACTGCAGAAGCGCTACAGAATGAAAAGCATACAATCAAGTTTGCTCAACTGAATAAAACAGATATACCTAAACCAAAGAATCATCAACATACCCATCAGGGCTGATGAATATAGATAAGCTTCTTTCCATTGAACGACCCCCTTTGCACTAGTACAAAAGAGATAATTGCCCAAAAGGATACAGAAGTTAGTAGAAAGCATCCATTAAGTGGAATGACATGGAATACGGAGACAAAGACGGGAAGTAAAAGAAGTTTGTGAAGTTGAAAGTGCTTACCATGGGACAAAGCAGGCTATGGTACTGGCCCGGGAGACATGTTTGCATATCGATACCAAGTTCTTCCAGTCTCATTTTCAAAACCTTCAACGGAGCCTCTATCCCTTTCCCTACTGGCCCCTCTAATTGAACTGAGAGAGCAAAAAAGGATCACTTAACATCATACACAAATTCAAGTACACTCTGTCTTTGCTCCACCTAAACTCAGCCACAGTCAAATGCAGAATTCAAAAAATAAAAAATAAACTACGTCCCAGATGAACTCGCCCCAGCAACGAAAACAAAAACAAATTACCCAATGCCACTCACTCAAACACCCGAAGAATCCATAAAACATTTCCCACCAAACGAACTACAAGAACATCACTCTCGACCCAAAAAAGACAGCACCCGCCGATAAAATCGACAGTACCTGGTCTGGGAATACTCGAATGAGGCCTGTGCGGAACCCCATTAGCCTTGAGGCAAGAAGGGTTCATCCGGGACCCAGCTCCCGAGCGGACGCAAGAGAAGCGGAGTCCATACGCGCCCCGAAAGCGCACCCGAGACGAGGAAACATAACAAGAAGAAGAAGGAGAAGGAGGAGGAGAAGGGACGGGCGGCAGGGGAAGAGGCCTGGCTCTCAGCAGCAAGCGGTTGCAGCCCATGAGAGCGACGGCGCCCGAGGACAAGAGGGAGGCTACGTAGGCTGGCCTGAGGGGGGAGCGGGGCGGAAGGAGGGGCATAGTCGGAGGATTCTATGGTCGGCCCGTCTCCTCCTCCCTCTCCGAGAAGGCGCTGGTGATGTCCATTTCGTCTCTTGCGCATGCGCGGCGAGGTTTGGCCCGTGGCGGACGGCGGAAGAAGAGGTGGGCTAGGCGACGACGGTGAGTACTACTGAGCAGAGAGGGGTTTAAGAGGAGACTTTCGGGTCGGGTCGGGTCGGGTCGGGTCATAATTTTTGACCCGAAATGTTTTTCGACTTTTCACTTCTTCTTTTTTCCGCATAATTTGATATTGATACTAAATTTTGCACCTCTCCTCCCATTTGATTTTTCTATTTTACGCAAACTATCGATAACTTTTTTAAATACGAAAAATATGAAATGTAAACTAAAATACAAGTTTTACATGATTTTTGAACTCTACTTTTTCATTCTAAATTTTTTTTTAGAAGGTCGTGGATAGGGGTGGTAAGCAATTTTGGAAGACTTCTGAATAGAAGTTATCCATGTTTAAATTTTTCGCCCCGATGTCATTATTGCGCATTTTTAAGAAATTGAAATCCATTACCAACATCAATAATTGATTGCTCAATATGTGTTGTATTTCATGTTTCGTCATTTAAGTAGTATCGTCGTGAGGTAAGGTGAGTATTAGACATTTTGATTATTATTTTAAGCTCGAGGGGCATACTAATCAATTTCTAAGTCTCGAGAGTATTTTGGTCATTTTTAAAGTCCATAGAATGGTCTCGATGCATGGAACGTTCAGACGGTCTCGAGGCAGGCACAATGTATTGAACGGTCCATGGGTTCGATGCACGGGAATTTTGGTAATTTCAAAGAAAATTCGATCCCAACTGGCCAGCCACAATGTGCCATGGTCAAGCCAGACCATGCTAAATAGGAGAGTTTTGACACTACTTTTGCACATATCATCTTTTCTGTTCAATGCACATTCAATATATGCTTTTAAGAAAATGATTTATTAAAAAGGGCAGTAATCGCTGAATTTAGAAGCATAGGCTGCGTTTGGTCATCCGATTTTTATAATCGGATAAGATAAGGGCAGATAGAATAATGATCAGATTTGTAATATTCTATACAATGTTTGATAAATGTCCGGATATAACATGAATATAGACACCATGAATTAAGTCATCATGCTTTGTCCACAAAGTTAGGTACTCTCACACGATGCCTCACCACTTCCGTCATCATGCCTCACCTGTGACAAATTTACCCTATGTTAGTTTCTGTTAAATTTTACTATCAAATTGTTAAATTTGATAATACGTGGTAGTTGACGGGTGTACCAGTTTGAGATTTTACCTCTCTATTTGTCACAGATTTATCAATTTGTGGTTTTACGTGATATTAATCCAATTTAATGGACACTAACGGAGGGTAGATTTATCACAAATGTACCAGTTTAGGATTTTTAGTAGTCAAAAAATTAGTTTGAGGTAAAATCATCACAAGTGTACTAGCGTGGGGATTTTTATGGTCCAAACAATAATCCGGGGTAAATTTGTTACGGGCGTACTAATTTGAGATTTTTCATGATCAAAAAATTAGTTCGGGATAAAATTATCACAGATATACTAGTTTGGGTTTTTCGGGGTATTAATCTAAACTCAAAGGCAATTCCGACTTTTGATTGGAAATGCAACTCAGATTCAAATCGATGGACCAACGATGGTGTGACGGGTGGCTACCATTGGAAGTGGGATTTGAGCTAATGATGGAGCGACGATGGTGGGCATTGAACCCAAAGATCTCGACAAACAACCGTTCTCCGCTCTCCAAGCTCGTCAAATCGATCGAACCGGACCTCGTTCACTGCAAAATCTTCGCCCACGGCCTCGGCTGGGACACCACAGACAAGACCCTTACCTTCTCGTTGAGGCCCAATCAAAGAACGCAAGGTGGTCACCGATAAGGCCACTAGCCGATGCAAGGGAACCCGAGCTCGTGGTCACGCCGAGCTCAAGGCCCAGCCTCAGGCGACCCCAGATTTAGGGTCCCTGAGGTCGGCAAGCTCGGATCTGAGGTCGCAAGCCTCAAATCCGAGGTCTAGAGTGTCGAACCGTGTCAATCCAATGGCTCGACATGTCAAGATAGAGATAGAGAGCGTGAGATAGAGGCGGACGATGGCTAGGCAACGCTGTCGAATGATAGTGAAGCTCGTGCTTTGGTCTTCGATGGTGGTGCTCGACGATGGAGGTCGCTCAATCTCTGGATTCACCCTCTAGTTTTTGCTCACAACTTTCTTTTTTTTCTTTCGTTTTTTTAAATTCTTATCCTGCCTGGCTATATCCCACTCCCTAAGTGAGATTTTTTTATCTGGGCTATATCCGGATTATATCCAGACAAATCCAAATTTCGCGTTTTGCCAAACACCGGATAGGATATGAGTTATTTTATTTTATTTAGAGTTATATCCGATCTACCAAACGCAAAGGATTTATGGAGGACATAAAACTAAATACTATTGCACTCTTATTTCCCCCCATTTTTCTGTGCATCTTCACTGTCAAGACCTCAGAAACAGTGAGTACATACTTGTCAATGTCATTTTCGTTCGAAATTTGGAGGAGAGCACGTCAACACATCAATCACGAGAGCTTAAAAAGGACAGGGTGAAAGAACAATAGGAGGTGCATAGTTTTGAGGGCTAAACACAGGATAGTCGAACTACCCGGTCGGGTCTAGGGTAATCCGGCACGAAGCCGCACGTAAATGGCGAGTACGCACTCCACGAACCGGAATTTAGCGGCGGCCTCTAGGGCACGTGTTTCTTCAATATGGCCGGAGGAGTCGGGAGCGGTGGAGACCCAGAGGTCCGCCATTTGTGCCCAGTTCATGACCGGTACGTAGCCTAAAAATTAGATATACATCTATCGTTGAGTCTCTTGAGCATACTAACCTTTTTTCTTACCAATTCGTCGGGCTAATCCTGCCTCGAAGGGCTCGCGAAATCCCTAGAAATAGGGTGTGTGATTAGCATGTAACCAAGTCCAGGGCAAGCATGATGTTTCGATCAATTTTTTCGACATCATATTCATGGATTGCTCCCTATCTTATCTGCTGACCAGCAGCGGCCTCTTCGTGCATTTAACCCGTATTTCACGATTTACTTTTGCTCGAACTGATTCATGTTGGTTTCAGGGGCTTCGAGAGGCTCCAATCTCAGGCTCGGGTAAATGTGTCACAGATGGCGAAGTTTGGGGTTTTTGGTGGTTTTTTCCCTAAAACCTATGCTTAAATTCTAGAAAATAATTTTCTCTTTCAAATATCAAAAATCATTTTCCGAAATATGATTAGGTGTCAATTTTGGACCAAAAAGTCTACGCTTGAACACAAAAACCCTAACGCTCGTTCCTGAGTTTATGGCATTCAGGACTGAGTTCCTAGAGCTTGGGCCTGGGTCTATTAAGCCCAGTCACAGGACTCCGGTGCCTATCCCCAAGTCCCCGACGCTAGTGCACGGGTCCATCGAGGTCAGCCTCGAAGCCCTGGTGCCCGGGTCCATCAAATTTTATTTTTAAAATTTGATTAAATTTTAAAATTAAAAATTCGCATTAGGAATGTAATTGTTATATTATTTTGGCAAATCTTGAAAGGGGCTTTTTTGTTTCATTTAGTCATGCCATTATCTGTACATATGATAACTCTTAAGAAAAAGTTTGGTGTTTGATATGCACAATAAAGATAAAAATTTAACAAATTTAACTGTATTAAAAAAATTTATGTTCAGATTTTTGTGGAGTCCACTTGACAATTAATTTATAAATTTCCTTCGACACATGGAAAAGAGTTAGATTTCTCGAAAAAAAATTTCTTCGACAAAGCTAATACATGTAGCGGTAAAATCTAAAAAATAAATTAATATATATTGCCTTTAATATGCATAGCAAGACCCACTTAAAAATAAGAAACACATGATATTCTTAATGAAAAATGCCGGCAAAATGGCACCGTTCTAATGAAATGACGAACCGTTCTCGACCTTCACTTTTTAAAATTGGTTATAGGAAACCTGAATAGCAAGTTTCTTTTTAAAAGAGAGAATAATAAATTGATTACTAATTTTCATGACAAAATCGTTTGTCTTAAAATGAGCTTTCAGTTGTTTTTATTTTTAAAAAAAAATTCAGTACTTTTTTTCTTTTTTTTCTTTTTTTAAGAAGGACACCAAAAAAGAAAGGAATTCACCAAGTAAGTTTACCAAGAACAGCCTTTCATAGACTAGAACCGGCAAAATTTGTCATGACCTGTTTACATGACAATAGTTAAGTGTGTCCATATCAAGTTTAAACGGGTTTGTATTGTAAACGGATCAATCGATTTATACACAAACTATATTGGATGACATTTAAGATTCCATTCGAACCTTCGTAATCCTAGTGAATAATATTTATGACTCAAATCGAGTATTGCAAACTAGTGAATAATATTTACGACTCAAATCGAGTATTACTGTTGCGGGAGAATTGTGGTAATTCCCAAAGAGGGTACTTGCGCTAGTCCCGTCCTCATCCTTTTATCCACAAAACAGAATTCAAACAAGTAAATTTTTGAAGGAACATGTTTTTCTTTTGATACGGTAAGCATGTCTTATCGCGTTCAAATTTATTTGAGATTCTATGCCAACTTGCTCCAATTATGTAAGGTCTAAAAAAGATAAAGGAAAAAATTGAAAATCAAAGATTTGCTTTCAATTTGTCATGCGAAAAAGAGACTACGAAGATGAATATATGTGAAACACAGGAATGCAATAAATTTTGTCAATGCTGCTCTTTTTTATTACTCATTTGTTTTTTTTATCAAATTATTGCCCTAAGCTTGATTAACCATTCAAACCGGTTGTCCATTCTCCTATAGTGGAACTTAATTATCACAATTAGGTCCAACATAGAAGTTGAAAAAATAAAATAAATGATTAAATTTGGAGTCTACCAATTTAAATTTCAATCAGGTAATTAAGGGCAAATTTATCTTCCTAGTAAAAAAATGAGTGGATGCAATCGGGTAGGGGTAAAAAATAGCCGGATGAGGTAAACTTACCAAGAAATTGTTTTCAGTTGATTTATCCAAAAATAAAATAAAATAAAAACCATAGCAGCTTTCCACGGCAGGTACTGTTTCACTGAAAGTCATTCAATTCACCATACTTGCTCATTCCTTGACAACAGGATTTTACAAGAATGTAACTTAATTGAAAAATGCCCTAAAAGCTGAAAATTAAAAGAAAAATTACTGCAACCTTAAAAAAAACCGAGAACCCTAACTAAGAAACTAAGGAAAGAGACACAAAACAGATAACCGACAGCTAAAAATTCATTCTGGTGATTCTCTGGATTAGTTCTGCTCGTCAATGTACCAGCCGGAGGTACACATGAGCTGAACCATCTCTTTGCCGATTGAGTCCGCGGACTGCACTTCGGGGTCTCTCGAGACCGCTCGGACCAGCTCTCTCGGCGCCAAGCACTTCTCTTCAGCGTACAGCTTCTCTTGTATTTTTGGCGATTCGAGCAGAACTTGAAGCTCTCGCTTGCCATGCCGCGTTTCCTCGTTTTTCTGCAAATTAGAGCAAATTATAGGGATTACAAGAGTAGAAAAACATTATTGTTGACATTGAACGTAGCTTTCAGAAAACCAAGACCAAAAGATATGTGTAACATAAGAACCACTTTCTGGTTATATCCAAGAGCAAAAAGCACTGTCAGTTTATGTTCAGGAAAGAAAAGAGATGGAATATTTCATAAAATTGCTTAGGAAGGATAAATTAAGCCAATCAACAAAGAATCTAGCACCTGAATTGACTCATTGAGCTCAAGAATTCCAACTTGAGCCTGCAAGTATTTCACATACTTGTACGCCGCTTGCAGCATTTCGGCTGTATTCATCTTTCGGCCTCCCGGGACAAGCTTCCCGAGCTCGAGGGTCTTCTCGGTTATTTTCCTCCTCCTCTGCCGCGCCGCTAAGCTCTGCGTGGACAAGCTCGCCCCACCCGTGCTCGGTTTCTTTGCGCTGATCTCTCCGCCCCTGCAGGAGCTGCACCGCTCCTGCCAGAAATGCTGCTCCTGCGGAGCAGGCAGCATGAGCTGCGGCGGCGAGAGCTCCACCAGTGGCAGCTCACTCGCGACATACCCATCAAGGAATCCGGTAGTCAAGTCGGGGTACTCGAGGGGTTCCTGCTTCTGGCGTTTCGGGTACGGGCAGCACTCGAGCTCGTCGAAAGGGAAGATGTCGGGCGAGATGGAGACGAGCTGGTCGGGTGTAGAGGAGAAGTAAGGGACGAGGTACTCAGGGTACGAGCAGTCGCCGGAGCAGTATTCGAGCAACGGGTCGATGCAGGAGTCGGAGAAGGCGGAGCAGTCGTCGCTGCAGAGCCCCAGCAGCTCGGGGGAAAACTGCAGCGGCGGGAGGCCGACAGGACTGAGGTGTTGCTGGAGAGAGCTCAGGTTGGAGCAGAAGCTCATAGCCATGTTGAAAAGAACCTAGCAACGTCAGACATGGTAAGTTTCCACTTTTGCTCAAGCACACACCAAGGCTTGGAGTTGCACCTTAACTATTCGTCAGTTGAGAATGGAGATAAAGAACAAGGTAAGAGAGAGAGAGAGAGAGAGAGATACCTGGGGAGATTCTGTCTTTGCCATATCCACGAGGTTGTTGTCTCTTGCTTGTTGAATCGAAGTAGACCTAAGACTACTGTAGTCGCCAACAAACGTTGTCATCATCTGTCTCAAACTGTAACTTCTCCTCTGCTTCAAGCGTTTGGTCGGTTATTATCCGAGGAAGGGAGAGAGAGAGAGAGAGAGAGGCGAGGCAGTTGAGATAATTTAGGAGGAAAATAAGGTGATTTTGGTTAGATCCAGGTGGAGTAACCGCCGCTGCTTTAAAAGCGGGAGCTTTTTCTTTAGGGTTTTTTTTTTATAATCTATATACTTCAATAACCGTCGACCACCATTATTTATTCGTTCTTGTCTTTGTTTTCTCTTTCGTTTGATTAATTTTTTTTTCGTTTGGATTAAGTCGCCGTACCCACTAAAAGTATGCAAATGTTTAGTAGTTCAAGTTTTCTTCAATGCAATGTTAGTTCAAAGTCTTCTTGACCCTAAAGTTTAAAAGGCTTCGTCTTAGACCTCATCCGGATATTGATATCCCTGAGATGTAAAACAAATAGACGGTATTGCTTGGAAAAGAGCAAGAAAAATATACATAACCCAATTAGGAGTATGAGGCATGTGGGTACCGACACGTTAAAATAAGAAACGCATCCTGGTAGTCCGCCCGACTAGATGGGGATAGGCGCAAAAAGCCCTCGTAAAAAGAATGTTGAAAACATTAGAAAAAAACCAGATAGTTCACCATGGATTAAGTTTGATGGAAAAGAAATTTCTTTTTGCAATATTATTTAGGACATCATCTTGAATCTAAGGGCACCGCTAGGCTAAGGACACGTCCGGCCAATAAATTAAATAATGAAAATATCACCTATAATTTGCTTACACCAATCTCTACATAACAAGTTTGTAGATAGGCTTTAAGGGAAAAAAATGATTAAAAGAATTTTTCAGAGAGACAACACTAATAAAGAGAAGAGGTTTATAGCACCAAAACCGAGCAAAGAAAATGATGGTGTATTTCAATCCTTTTTGTAATACAATATTTAGTTGAGAGAAAATTAAAGACCTGAAAAATAGTTTCCTATAGAGATAACTCAACATGGGTCAAATATAACGGAAAAAAACTATGCAGATTAATAACAAAACTTAAATTGATGTAGTGTATGGAAAATGAACTTTAATGTTTGTAAATTTGTGAGAAAAAAAATATGTACATGCCTTTGGAAGTTGGCTTTTGTTTTGTTTTCAATGTGATATATAATTAAAAGAAATTGAACAAATGAAAAATAATTCAAACTATGCAGATTATTCGCATGTTTTAAACTTTACTTGCTACTTCAATCTTTGTTTTTCAATAATGAAAGTTTTTTTTATTCCAAGGAACTTGATTTTCAATTTTATCTGGTCCCAAAAATGTTTAAATTTTTTTTCTTATTTTCAATTTGACATTTTTTTTCAAACTTTACAAGACTTTGGAGGGTATGTTTTGGGTAAATTTATATTGTTTTTTCATTCATTGCTTAGTCATGTGAAACTCAAACACACAGACTTATTCGAACGAGTAAAAGGAGTACAAAGTTATTAATAAACTTTGCATTAATGTAGCGCATAAAATTTTCCTTTTTGCCTTACCCTAATCAATAAATTTTAGTTCGATCATTTTGCAATAAATGTCGAGCAAATTAATTTTTATTAGTAACTTAACACAGGTCAATTAGAACGGAAAATCTGACCAAAAAAAGAACGGAAAAATGGTTTATGCAATATCATTATGACTTTATCTCATATCAATATGCATGTCCTAAAATCCCTTCCCAATCTGTTTTTCGTTTTCTAATATTGAAATTTATACAACCCTAAGGCAATTGAATTTGCATTTTCATCTTACCCAAAGAGTTACATAAATAGGAAATTCTTCAATTTGGGACCTTTTTACAGTAATGATTCCATCAAGAAACATTTACATGGGTTTAAAAAAAGTATGTCTAAGGTTGATTTTAATTTTGATTCTGATTTTTTTGGTTCAATGCTTAGTTAGGCAAATCTTTCATAAAGACATCTGCAGAATCTTTAGACATGCTTTTAATCCCTAGTTTGGGCTTTTCTGGTGCAATCAACTTTCATCTACTTTACGTCTTCTTTTTATTTTATTCATAATCACGTTTATGTTTATTTTGTTTATAAGCAACGGTATTTAATTTTCATAGTACTCGGATTCACTCGAAAAAAGTAAGGAAAAAAAAAAAAAGATTGTCCGCACGTGTAGAGCGTGCATAAGGGCTAGAATTCAATCCATCACTGACCATTAAATGTTATATGTTGTTAAGCTTTTCTTTTAAATATTATGTTTGTAAATCTCAACCTCAAATATCATGTCACTTACATAATGTAACATCTTTAGTTTCTCTCTTCTATATTATCAAGTCAAAAGTGAGTCTTATCTTACTTTCATCTTCTTCCCAAATTTACTTGTACGACGAAACGCGGAATACTTTTAAGAAACAACGAGGTTTGAAGGGTCTGATAATTAATATCTTATATATATTAAGGCGAAACCTCCCAAGTGTTTCGCTTTTTAGATGTTTCTCATTGCCCTTGCATCGAAATGAACAAAAAGTAGAACTATCCACTAGTATCATTTCATTGAATAACCATTCAATTTACACATGTTTGATAACTATCTCCACTAAAAGAGAGAGAGATGATTGCAAAAAGCTCTTCAAGTTTACTATTATATAACAAAAATCATCATCAAATTAAAAAACCTTCCATTTTCATCTCCTCCAAATTAAAAAGCCCCTACAGCCATCCCTTTTTCCTTCTTCTCTCTCTTCCTCCAGCCTCCTTCTCACTCAATCACAGACGTATACATACACAGACACACACAACGGACTCTCTCTCCACCCCTTGTCGCCGCTGCCACCGTCACCCAACGCCGCCTCCAGTGCCCTTTGCCACCGAGCGACTTGCCCTAGTGACCCACCCGCTCTCCTCGCGGGCATGGGACGACAAGCTCGCGTGAGCCCAGCGCGCTCCGTGATAGAGCTTGCATCCAAGCTGGGTCACCCCTACCTTGATCTGGATCATATCTAAGGTTACGACCGTCGTCGTCCTCGAGTTTGAGGCCGGGGACAGTCGGGGATGGCGGGGAGGTGGTGGCCGACTAGTGACGGGTAGGAGAGAAATGATGGAGGAGAGAGAAATGCGTCATAGGGTTTGTGAGATGTAAGTTCATATGAAAGTAGAAAACTAAAAAACTTAAGTCGTAAGTTTTAAAAGGGGGAATGGCACTTGATATAAGGTGCAAGCCTAGGGTGATTTTTTGTGATATTCCCACGCACTGCACCCACTCAATTAATTAATCATCCAATTCCTTCTAAAACAAGATTAATCTTTTTTTCAGACATAATTAATTCACGATCACGTACGCGCGCGCCTTAACACAAGCGGCAATTATCCCACTCGCGCTCAAACTCAACATTCACCTCTAGCTATTCCATCGGTGTAAAATGTTCGATTTAATTAATTTTCAAAAGATGTGATTAAATTCCACCAGCCCCCGTGCATGAGGACTAGTTATATTATTTATATATATTTTTATAGAATTCCAATATTCATGATGATATGCGAAATATACATGCTAAATTCTCGTTCAAAAGTTTAGACTCTACATTCGTGTGGATGCACAATTGAATAAGCGTTAGATAATGAACTTATAACATCTAATTGAAATTAAAAAAAAAATCGGTTTATCATTAATCAAAAGTGGAGTTTCTCTTCATGCCCAAACTACAAAGTTCTAAATCACCTGAGAAAATGTACGATAAATTGCAAAATCCTATCCGAACAATTACGTAAATAATTAACTGAAAGAGAATGATTAATGACGTAATAAACGAGTTAGGGTTTTTGACTCGGTCTCCACCTAACATGGGGAGATAGTGCAGCCGTGAGTTTAGGGCTGAATGAGACTTGGTCAAATTGTTTACGCAGCAAGTTTTTCTTTACTTGCTATCCACGGTGGACCGACCACGTTTCACGGCAAGTGCACGCACGTGAGAGAGGAAAAATGTTGAGGGATGAGGGATACTAGAAAGAGATGTTATAATATTTTAACCGGAAAAATTACCCAACCGGTACTTAATCTATTGTATGGATGCTGATTTGATTATAAACTTTCTAATTTTTCTAATTTAATTCTAAATCTTTGCGCGAAATTCCAATATAATCCTTCCGATCAATTTGCTCGAACTTCCACATCAGCGATTTCCAGCGAAAATTGATCGGAAGGATTATATTAGAATTTCGGGCAAATGTTTATGACAAAATTAATAAAACTGGAAAGTTTAGAACTGAATTGGTTAGAAATACTACATTGGAATTTTACACAAAAGTCTAGAACTCAATTGACGAAATTAGAAAATTTAGGACTGAATTGACTTTCGTACATTAGAATTACGACTGATTGAGCAATTTTCCCTATTTTAACTTGACGCGCATGTCGCAAAATCATATTGACGGGATAAAAGAATTTACAATAACCAGCTCGGGATAGCAAGATGTAGGAACATCACAAGGATTACACAAGTTATGGTATGCAGTGGACGGACTCGATATGCAACGAGATGGTTCAGCTCAGGTTTTCCCATGGCTGGTATATTGGCGCATAGAACTAATCCAGAGAATCACTAGGATGAATTTTAGCTGTCGGTGACCTTCTTTCCATAGAATCCTTTTGACCCGATTTTGTTGCGTTGGGATGCTTGTGATATATATAGTTATGGAATTTGCAATAGAAATCGGGAAATTCGCACACTTCTTGACCCTAGGAAAAACGGGCGACCAGTCCCAAGGAGTTAAAAATTGACTGTTGGATTCGGGTGACAATATGAGCGTGAAATGACTCATTTTGACAAGTAGAACCCATTTTAAAGGTTTATAACGCAATTCGAGCCTTGTGTGTTGCAGATAAACTTTTAATCGACTCTATATCAAACTTAATTATATTTTTGAAAATGGGGCAAAAAATTTGATGTGACAACAACCATAATAGTTTTTTTCCACGTCGATACTTTGATCATCGATTGTCAAGAACGTAGTCAAATTTCCCT